TTTATACATTATATAAACATATAGAAGAATAATCTATTTCCTGAAATGAATTCTGGATTGGTTCCAATATAGTTGATATGAATATACACAATAAACATCTATTCTTTAGATAATTACATTCCTTATCCTCTATATTCATGCATTCTGTCCTTTGGAAGATGGAAGGTTCAACAACGAGAACTCACGTCGTACACTCAACTGAGAAGGTCAAATTGCTGGTACGACTTTGTTTTGATTTTACATAGAAATTCATCCGGTGTCACGTTAAAAATTAACAAAATTTTTGTTCTTAAGAATAAGATTGAAAGTGTTTAAGATTTCAATCTTACGTCCAGTTTACATTAGTCCGACGTGGACCAATGGATTTAATGTTTTTTTAATCCTAGAATATTTTGAGTTTAGACTGTCAGAGATGTAATGTTTTGATGATTTATTGTTGGTGAAAAAGTAGTTTTTATCTGCAATCTTGCAGATTCAGTGCTTCATGTATTTTAAATCCATAATTTAACATTAAACCATTTTTAAATATTAATATATACTATATAGTATAAACTTTGCTTCACCATTATTGGTAAATATTAATATATATTATGAACTTTGTTTCATCATTAATATTAAATATTAATATATTATGAACTTTGCCTCACAATTATTGTTAAATATTAATACTTATTATGAACTTTTCTTCAGTATTATTATTATTTAATATTTATATAAATAATGAACTTTGCTTCTTCATTATTGTTAAATCTTAATATTTATTATGAACTGTTCTTTAACATTATTAGTGGTGAATAAAACGTTTCTTTATTGTAAAATGTAAAAATATGTAAATTTCGACTTATGCCCATCATATTTATGTTTGCATTAATCTAGAAAATTTTTCAATTCCTTACAAAATACTTTTTGTCACGTACACTGTAATCGGTGGAGAAAATTATTTTTAATTTCCATTTTGCTTTTTTATATTTTATAAATTAATTATTATTATTATTCATTGTATTTTTTCCGTTTTACTTTTATTTTGCCAGCAAGCTCTCACGGTTAAAACTAAAGCTAAAAACAAGCACGTTATACTAACTTGTACATGTCTAGGGATACAAGCACGGTATATAGTACTAACTTGTACATGTCTAGGGATACAAGCACGGTATATAGTACTAACTTGTACATGTCTAGGGATACAAGCACGGTATATAGTACTAACTTGTACATGTCTAGGGCTAAAAAAATAAACACGTTATAGTGCTAACTTGTACATGTCTTGGGGGATAAAAACTAGCACGTTATAGTAGGAACTTGTACATGTCTAAGGGTACAAAAACAAGCACGTTATAGTAGGAACTTGATCATGTCTTGGGCTACAATAAACAAGCACGTTATAGTGCTAACTTCTACATGTCTAGGGCTACAAAAACAAGCATGTTTTAGTACTAACTTTTACATGTCTAGGGGTACAAAAACAATCACGTTAAAGTACTAATTTGTACATGTTTATGGGGTACAAAAACAAGCACGTTATCTAACTTGTAAATGTCTAGGGGTATCAGATGTATACACAGACAATCACAAGAGTATTAGACAGATGTATACACAGCTACAATCAAGAATATCAGACAGATGTACACACAGCTACAATCAGGAGTATCAGACAGATGTACACACAGCTACTATCAAGAATATCAGACAGATGTTTACACAGCTACAATCAGGAGTATCAGACAGATGTATACACAGACAATCAAGAGTATCAGACAGATGTACACACAGACAATCAAGAGTATCAGACAGATGTATACACAGACAATCACAAGAGTATTAGACAGATGTATACACAATCAAGAGTATCAGACAGATGTACACACAGACAATCAAGAGTATCAGACAGATGTATACACAGACAATCACAAGAGTATTAGACAGATGTATACACAGCTACAATCAAGAATATCAGACAGATGTACACACAGCTACAATCAGAAGTATCAGACAGATGTTTACTCAGCTACAATCAGGAGTATCAGACAGATGTAAACACAGACAATTAGGAGTATCAGACAGATGTATACACAGACAATCAGGAGTATCAGACATATGTATACACAGACAATCAAGAATATCAGACAGAATTACACACAGACAATCAGGAGTATCAGACAGATGTATACATAGACAATGAAGAGTATCAGACAGATGTACACACAGACAATTAACAGTATCAGACAGATGTACACACAGACAATCACAAGAGTATCAGACAGATGTATACACAGCTACAATCAGGAGTATCAGACAGATGTAAACACAGACAATTAGGAGTATCAGACAGATGTATACACAACTACAATCAAGAATATCAGACAGATGTACACACAGACAATCAAGAATATCAGACAGATGTATAACACAGACAATCAAGAGTATCAGACAGATGTATACACAGACAATCAAGAGTATCAGACAGATGTAAACACAGACATTTGACAGATTTATAGTTATAAAAAAAAAATCCGACGATATTGCATTGACCAAAAATCCCCTTTTCCCCTCCCTTCCATAAAGTGAACATGTGAGATGGGTTTACGCAAAGTTGGTGATGATAAATTGATATTCTGAGAATGTGTTAAAATTCCTGTACTGTAGGGTAAACTTTACTATCTATCTATCTTGTACAGGGTGTACCTGGAAATCCCACTAATGTTTCCAATTTTAGACTTATGTAAATAGAATGGTGTACATAAAGAACTTTAGTGTTTATTAAAAAATCCGAAAATTTTATATTGAGCATTAATTCTTGGGCATCCTGTACTTGGACATTTACTGGGATACACTCTATATTTATCTTTCTGACACTTAAAACTCAATTTAATATAATTAATGTAGATGAAGAGCAGAAACCGAACCTTAACCTGGACACTTAGACTGAGATTTGGCCACTGAGACAGCAAACCCTTTATCTATTATTATGAGTTGGGATTTTTGAGAGAAAGGTCGTCCTTGCTAAGACCAGGTTCTGATATCAGGGTTTGGTTCTGCAAAACTGCGAAATGCAAAATCATTTCCTGAAATTTCGAATAAAATCTTTAAAGAAAATAAGGAGTTTATTAGTAACTATAAAGGTCTAAAATTCAGTGCCTACATACCTCTAGAGGTTTTATTTAATTTTACGATTACATTCGGTTTGTTTAATTGTTAAAATGTTTTACGGTTGGTTCTTAAATCAGGCTTAATATCACGGAAATGCCGGGTTTAACTTGTTTTATCAAAACTCTGGTAACTACAATATAATGAAAAAAAAACCTGGAACTATAGGCTAAACATGAAAGTGAAAACCCTCGAAATAAACATGGAAAGAGAAAAATTTATCTAAACTTAGGGAAGAAACCCTTAACACGACATTATGAGATCACCCCAACCACCTAAACTTGGACCTAACCCCGAACACTAAGAGAGCAAACCCTACACCGAAATTAAACATTAAATGGGAAAAACCTTAACTTAAACCTGAATACAGAATAGAAATCCTGATCCTAAATCTTCCAGAACACTGGACCTGGATATTGAATGAAATCCTTAACCTGGAGAAATTTCAGAACCAATTCCTAATGGCACTGAGAAGGCTTGGTTACAAAGCCAACCTAACCATAGTATAGAACTGATCATGAACCCAGTTATTTATCATAAAATTTTGTGGAAAAATGTTTGTAATTTTTACTTCAGAAATTCAATTATTCTTTTTATATCACACTTTTGTAAGATTTGTATGACAGACAAATCCAAAATGTTGCAGATTTCCGGTTTATATCCGGTTTAGTTTCTTTTTATTTCATTTTTATTCAAACCATTTGCGTTCACTCCGTTTTTCAATGTAGGGAGATACGTAACTTAGATTTATTTCTCTAACAGTTTTCCTTTGTTTACTGTTACAACCCCTTTTACTTTTAGCCCCCTTCCTTCCCCCTTCCCTCCCCCCTTACACTAGCTTTTAAAGATGAGATGATTGAGAAGAGAAGATAATCTTAAAATTGTGTTTTATTGAAACACTAAGCCTCAACCTTGGCGAATCTCGAAATTTTCAAATTATTTACAATTTTTTTTTTCATTCAATTATTTAGCTGTAGAGTGTAGGGGATATTTAAAACAATTGCAAAAAGTGCATCATAAGAATGTAACAAATATATTTGACAATATTTACGTTATACGCATGTTTCCATGCCTATTTTTAGGCCTTTATTAATATTCAAGTTTTAACCCTGGCTCATAGCTTTATTTATACTTTAGATAATTTTCCACCAACCATCAGCTTTCTTAAATGTCCTGCGATAAGATTTAAACTATCAAAATTAAAAATATTCAGCAAGAAATTTGTTTCTAGTTCTTAAAATTCCTTTAAATAATTAACAGGCTATAGATATAAAACTTCTTAAGCTTGTACTAAAGCTAAAGAACTAATTTTACTTAAAAATACATGTTTCCATATACCTATTTTGAGGCCTTTTTTAATATTCAAGTTTTAAGCCTGGCTTATAGCTTTATTCACACTTTAAATTATTTTGCAGCAACCATTTTATGGCCTGGCATAAGATTTGAAAAACAAAAATTCAAAAAATATTTCTGTTTCTTAAAAATTTAAATATCTTAATTT